TAAAAGTATTAAAGTACATCCATTCCTCGCTCTCCTCAACTCACATAGTTCTGTGACTATTTTATGGAAATATCGATTTTTTAACTTTTTTTCTGTGAATGAGTCGTTTTCAAACCACGGAGAAATTTTCATTTTAACAAAGTCTTTTATTTTAATTTGTGTATCGTAAAAAACACGGGGCAAATATATGAGGCGGCCCGCGTGGAACAAGCTGCATTACTTCAGATTTGTAGGTGATAAATGATAAAATATGATGGGATTTATTAGGGGAGCCTCCGGGGAGCGGTGGGAGTACGCAGATTTGGGCGCGTAGTCATTAATTAAGCACGCCACGGAAAAATAAGTTTATAAAATTCACCAGTGATTTCTCCTGTGTGCGTGAAAACTCCCAGCACCTGTTTTTTTTTCCTTCGTGGTTATTTTCCGTTCCACTGCTCCTCCTCTGCTCAGCGGCGCCACCTCCCCTCCCCGGGGACCGAGTACTTTGTGAACACTGCAGGGTCATTTGTTAACAGCGCGCCGTGTTTGAATCCAACCGTTACTGATGGTGAACCATGTTTGACTGACGAAGGGCCATTATTTAAACATTAGGCCAGATGTTTGACTTAATGAGAGAATTTGGCAAAACTAATAAAAAATAAAAAAAACAACAACATTTTCCCTCCAGTCCGTAGCCGTCGTTCTGACCACGGAAACTGTACGAATTTGTTAATTTCTTTTATGCTCTACTTCAGGCAAAACAAACTTTCTAAAATGATGTAATAATGCCTTTGTTATAGTTTGTTATTTAAAGGCCGAACCTTGAAGACAAATTGGAAAAATATTCAAACTCTTTCTTACGACATATCTTTAATTTAAATCTAAACACTTCTCCGAGCGTCGTTTCCCTCAGTCTTTGAAGAGTTCTTTTACATCAAGTCACTTTCTGATTCTTAGCCTCGTCCAAGAACTAGAACTAGAAGTTCTACTCCCTTTAAATGTTTCTATCAAATTGATTGAAATTTTAACGTCTACTTTAATTCAGTTGTCATAAAGGTTCAAAGCCGCATTTCATATCTGATTCTCCTCCATCCACGTGGTAGATGAATTGTAGTAGAGTCGGTTTCCACTCTGAGTTTTTTTGTTTTTTTTTCTTCGTTCCCCACACCTCAACCCTTCAGTCGAAGCTTCAACTTCAGGTCAGATGTTTGTCTTGCGTCAGTCCAGACTGGCTGAGCGCAGGACAGGAACTAAGACTCAGACTGACAGGATGACTGACGCTGTTGTCAAACCAGTTGCCAGGAACTGTTGTCTGATTAATATTGTTGATGACACCAAATACGGCTTCACCAAAATAAAATATTGTTGATGACACCAAATACGGCTCCAAAATAAAAAACTCTCCACCTACAGTCAACCGTCCAGATGATCTGTAACGACTAAAAACCAACAACATTTTTATTCACACTTTAGTAAATTTTCTCATTAATAATTCATTCAAATCATTTAGAAACATCACAAATAAAAACTACCTGTAATTTATGCCTTTTTGTTCCAGTATTTTACAGAAGAAATTCAATGGGTTGTTGTTTGTTTGGTTGTTGTTTTTTTTTTTGTTGGTTTTTTTGTGTGTTTTTTGCCATATTCAGGAATGTTGATATGGCTGAATTTATCACAATTAATCACGATTAGTTGTAACTAATTGTGATGAATTGTAATAGTTTGGCAGCTCTAATAACTTGTAAGGTTGAAGGACCAGACCGTGACGAAAAACACGTTTCAGTCCATAAAATCTGACACATGTTTGATTCGAACGTCTGTATCGGTGAATCAGAAGCTCGTCTCGTTTGTGACTCCGCAGCAGCAGCAGCAGCAGCAGCAGCCGGTTGACTGCATTTTCTCAGACTTTCTGGACAGCCGTGTTTTATCAGTCGCTGCTCGTCTCTCAGCAGCTGGGTTCAATGCTCAGACAGGACAGGACCATTTAGATGGACTTATTTATTTTCACTGCAGTCCAGGTCCGTGTCCTCCAGGACTCATGTTAAGACCTGGTGAATCGTGGACATGGAATAAATAACTCTTATATCATTTATTCCGTCTTATTTTGTGGTGTTTTTCCACAACAGCTTAACGCCTTAAAACTAAATTCAAAAATCCGTGAAGAGGTGCTACTATCTGTGGTTCGAAGCGTGCTCTCACACTCTCAGTGTAATCCTGTGAAAATACAAAGTGCCGTCTGCAAATTGGTGTTCATTAAAAACTGTGTGAAATAAGACACAAAGTAACGCCGAGTCTTTCACTCGTGATGTGTGTTGTTTTCTAAGTGAGAGAAAGTTTGGGGTTTTTTAAATCAAAATAAGTTTTTTGTTTTGTTTTTTTTTACAAATATTCTGTTATTCTGACTGTTGTATTTGTTCCTTCTCCAGGTGTCAGTGGTACTTCAAGGCCAAGATGACCACAGAGGAGAAGAGGAGGACCAGCTACCAGAATGGACACAGTGAGTGAAACGAGTCCAAAAAAAAATGACTTTCTTTAATTGCATGTTTGTTTATCTATTTGTTAATTCAGTGGACAAAAAATTAACAAATCTAAGTTGAAAAACTGTTTTACATCTCAAACATAATTACCTAAAAAAGCAAGTCATCATCGTTAATGAGTTCGTTTTAAAGCCTTTATTCAAACTGATCATATCTTTTCATTTTCACCCTCAAAAAGTTAATTTAAAAACCAGGACTTTCTGCTCGTCAACAGGAAAATCTCGTGTCTTTGAAGTTGTTGAGTGAAAATAGTTCATTTAACTTTAAACAATTCACTGTTTCATCAACGATCTGTTGAAAAGATCGTCCTTTTATCCTTATGAAGTCGCCCCCCGGTGGTTCCCTAGAGTCAAATTCAATTTCTAAATAACATAAAAAATGGTCAGTGAGTATTTCAGTGAATAAAACACGTCATCAGACGTCCAATCAGACACAGGATTATAATAAAATGATCTCACTGCGAATCCAAAACTCCAAAACAGCACCACCACCTGACAACAGAGAGGAAAACTCTTTTTTTTTGTCTGTAATTCCTGTATTTTCATTTGTGAGATTGAAGGAACAATAATGAGGGCAGAGAAGATGAACCGATGATTCAAACGACCGCGTGAAAAGAAAACCACAACAACTGGAGTTTCCGGGCGCAAACAAGGGCAGCAACGGTGGCGATAAGAAGAGAGGAATTATATATATATATTTTTAATAGAACAGTTGGTTTGAGGCCACAGAGTCCGACACAGATAGACTGAGGTGAGGAAAGATATCAAATGAGTTCCTGAACGCAGCTAACAAGCTGTCACATGGTTCAGTGGGAACACACACACCGACAAACACACCTGTGTGTGTGAGATTTTTTTTTCCAAAAGTATAGTCTTGTCCTCTGTTTACTCGGGTTCAGCCCTGTGTGTGTGTGTGTGTTGAGGACCCGGGATCATGTGTGTGTGTGTTCTGGGATATCAGACTGTTGTTCCCGAAAAACAACACAGTTTTTTTTATTTTTTTATTTTTTTAAATATTCTTTTTCTTCAAGGACATTTTAGCACAGGTGGATGCTGTGTTCCAACCAGGAATTTTTACCCTCCTCCTCCCCCGTCCCCTCCCCTGCTTCCCCCCCGGTGT